TACAATATTTACATCGATCAAAATGTCTCATGGAACATATACATTTTAGGTTTCTAGCTCAAGAACATGGTAATCATCGACACATCCGACACATAATGAAATATTTTGCTCACTTTCTGCTGCTGATTGGGGTCATGGTGTTCTCCATGCACAGACTGAGTTCTCTGATGGCCATAGGAAACAGCTTGTCTTTGAAGCATCTGATCGAATCTTCTCGCAGAAGAAGGTAATCCAGTCATCGGTGACGGACCAGAAGAATCCAGCAAAAATCCTACGTTGTCTTTCAAAAGGAGTGCAGTCGGAGTGAATTCTCCATCACGCCCCAAATCAAAGCTCCGACTCTGGAAACATACATGACAAGCGCGTTGAAATTTTGAAACATGTGAATCTAACGAGTAAAAATGTATCAACAAATTCTTCAGAATATTGGCTCAAGGATTATTTTTGACATCTTTAAAAAGTGAAGTTTAGAACAATTCATAACGTCACAACTATGAATTCTCAAAACTCCCAAATACCATTATCATCTGATGGTAACGGTTTTCTAAGGCAGTTATAAACCCGTACCTAGGAACTTCACGAATGTATCACTTGATATTTCAGATATTCGCAGCTGAAGTATTTTCAATTCATCGACTGCACGTATCACGCAACCGAAAATTTAGCTTTCTCGAAATTTCAAACGTTCAGATAAACTTGAGTTTTTCGTTTCAAGTCGCACTTCTTCGCTATTATGTTCACGCTTCCCGATTGATACACGTGATACAGTACAGTACTCGAAAAATTAGCAAAAAACAACAAATGCTAACCGGAGTTTCCGGCGTCAAGATGGGCGGAAACTGAAGATCAACAAGGTGCTTGGGCTCCGGCGAAGACAACGATTCAGTGAGCGACTTGCGGGCACGTTTAATAGGCGGCGAACAACCACTGTTCTCCTTGCCATAACAACCACGGCGTCCAGAAAGTGACGGGTGCTGGTGGTGGGTGTTGTTGGGTGACGTGTTGGGACTGTTGCTCATTCCGAGAGCTCGTCGCGTGTACGGAGAGTAAGACCCACCCCGACTCGACGACACAGAGCATCCTGTTCGTTCTCGCTCCGACTCCTTCCGGATTATCTCGTGGATATCGTCCACTAGGTTCGACGGACTTCCACCCTGAAATTTCGGAAATTTAATTATAGTCA